TTGCTTATCGTGTGCTGAACAAACGAACTCGAAAAGTGGAAGAAAAATTTTATCTTACTTTTGATGATTATTATATTAAACAATTTGATAAACAATTTGACAATGATCCAATATTACAAGAAAATCAAACTGAATCTGAAAATATACAATCATTCGATATTGATTATGACTTGATTTTAGGAAATTTAGATTATGCTACAAATGTTGAATGTAATGCTCCTGATACTCATGTCACTGAAGTTTCAAAACTAAATGATGATTCAACATCATCTTCTCAAACAATGGGCGAAAGTATGCATAATGATCCAGTGGAGGGGGAGTACTCAGATTTGAACACTCTACTTAAGGGGGAGCATTCTTTCGAGGGGTAGAATGAAAGGGCATGTGATAATGTTGAGGGGGAGCAATTAAATGATCATATTAAGGGGGAGTTAAATCAAAATGATGAAACTTATAATGATATTAATGATGTTGGTTCAATTACAGGATCTGAAAATGAAGAAATGTACGAAGTTGCACCTTTGGAATTCGATCCAACTTATCCACCAATGGAAAAATGGACAAAATATCATCCGAAGGAACAAATAATTGGTAATCCACAAGAAGGAGTTTTAACAAGAGCTCAAATTCATGCGAAGAATGAGGTGTTAAATGCTCATCAAGAATTTTGTATGTTCAACGTTTTTATCTCTAAAATTGACCCAAAAACAGTTAAGATTCCAATGGAACACTCAGATTGGGTTGTTGCAATGCAATCTGAATTGTCTGAATTTGAATGAAATTAGGTTTGGATGTTAATTCCTAAACCAAATGATGTTTTGATTGTCGGATTAAAATGGATTTTCAAAAATAAAACCGACAAATATGGAAATATAATTAGAAAAAGACAGACTTGTTGTTAAAGGATATTCTCAACAAGAAGGAATTAATTACGAAGAAACTTTCGCCCCTGTTGCAAGACTCGAGGTAGTTCGTATATTTTTGGCTTATGCCGCTCACAAAGATTTTGATGTATATCAAATGGATGTGAAGTGTGCATTTCCGAATGGAGAACTCGAAGAAACAGTGTATGTGGAACAACTTCCAGGTTTTATAAACGAAGAACATCCCGATTATGTTTATATTTTAGATAAGGCAGTTTATGATTTGAAACAAGCACCATGAGCCTGGTATGCAACTCTTACTTCATTTTTGAAGCAATCTAAATTTAAAAAGGGATCAGTTGACCCCACATTATTTCGTAAGAAAGTTGGGAATCATCTAATGCTTGTTCAAATTTATGTTGATGGTATTATTTTTGGCTCAACTGACCGTGCTTTGTCTAAAGAATTCGAAGATCTAATGAAGAGTAAGTTCGAAATGAGTATGATGAGAAAAATTAATAATTTTCTTGGTTTGAACATTCGTGAAAACAGAGAAGGAATTTTCATAAATCAAGAAAAATACACGAAGAATCTGCTCAAAAATTTTGGCTTGGTGAATAGCACAAAATTACGCATTCTAATGGCAACTGGAAGTAAACTCACTCCTTCGTTAGATAAACCTGCCATTGATATAACTTTAGACAGATGCATGATTGGATCTTTACTTTATTTGACTGCAGGTAGACCTGATATCATGTTTTCTGTTTGTAATTGTGCTAGGTATCAATCAAATCCTCGAGAAACACATCTCACTGCTGTGAAGAATATCTTTCGTTATCTCAAAGGAACATCTTCGCATGGATTGTGGTACCCTTCAAATACTGGATTTTTTAATTCAAGCAGATTCGGATGCCGATTTGGGAGGATGTAATATGGACAGGGAAAGTACAAGTGGTGGTTGTCAATTACTTGATGGTAAATTGGTAAGTTGGCAATCGAAAAAGAAGACATGTGTTTCTATCTCAACGGCCGAAGCTGAATATGTTGCTGCTGCTGCTTGCACATCACAGATAATATGGATTCAAAGTCAATTACGTGATTATGCAATTAATATGAAAAAGATTCATTATATTGTGATTCACAAAGTGCAATAAGAATTTGTCAAAATCTTCTGCAGCATTCGAAGACCAAACACATTGCTATTCGCTATCACTTCATAAAAGATCATGTAGAAGATGGAAATATTGAAGTTCATTTTGTGAAAACTACTAATCAATTGGCTGATATTTTCATGAAAGCATTGGATAAAAAATCGTTTGTAAGAATTTTAGAAGGACTTGGAATGGTTGATGGTAATTCAATTTCATGCGAAAAAAAAGATTGACAGTTCACAGATACGTCATGAATGGATAAGGTTAGTGTTCATATGTCACTCTTCGAATGCTTCGAATTCGTATGATTGGATTTTTTTTTTGTTTTTTGTTCTTTATTTTTGAAAACTCAAAAACATCAAAAAGATTTTCATTTTATTTTGTTCTTTATTTTCGAAAACTCAAAAACATCAATAAGATTTTCATTTTATTTTGTTCTTTCTTTTTGAAATATGAAAAACAACAAAAAGATTTTATTTTTTCTTTAAGTACTTTGTTGTAGATTTTCTTGAAGAGATGAAGAGGCAAATGTTCGCGGGTTCTAGGGTTAGGTATAAATCTCTACTCTTTGAATTTTAAATTTTAAAAACTAGTTAAGATGTCCCTAGAAGCATGCTTCAGCATGTTGTCTAAAGCCTCAATTGACTCAATGTTCGAAAGCCTTAATGAAATTATTCATACGAATATTTCTTCCCAATAAGGCTTACATTCACATTAATCCAATGAGCTACCTTACTCTTCTCACATTCTTTTTAAGGAACCAATATTTTTCATCTTAAAATTCTTACACTTGCACACACGAAGACATATATCCACGAGGTTTCTGATCAAAACCAATCGAAATCTGGATATATCACAAATCCGTGTTAATGATCAGTCTTCATGAGACCGTGACGATAGTGTAACCCAAATTTCTTTCCAAATTAAGGAATTGATGGGGAACTATGTTCCAGCTTTCACGAAACTTTTGTTTCAGTACCAATCTTCAAAACTCCAAATCATATTCATTTCATATGAGTGATCTTGATCAAATTTTCGTAACCCACGACGTTTGTTACCCATCAAGATCCAGCAAATTTTTTTTTTCATGAATATGATTTATGTGTGAGTTCACTTCGAATCCCAAAGTTACTTTAAATATTTTTCAAAGCACATTTGTCACTAGCTACACTGGGCACACAAGTAATTTTTGTTACAATTACTCACCTTATGTTAAGGCTGATATGTAACGAAATTGTTTTTAGCCACCCATGTAACTGTACAAAAGATGCCCTTCGAAACTTATGTACAAGTTTTTGATTGTATTTCACGGGAACATACACAAGCTGTTGATTATCTCTCTTGATAATTAACGAAGCAACCTTTGCCTGGGGTTTAACTGCCTTTGTGTCAAATTCATTTTTGGCATCACAAATATCCAAAAAAAAAAATTAATTTGCTTCTGATCTTAATTCTTTGACACAATGCACACACGAAATCCTTGAGGTTCTGAGTAATACCAACTCATGCTGATGATTTCATACTCTAGCAAATGACTTTACTTCGAAACCCAAAAGTAAAAGAGCCTAACCTCCACCCGAAGGGTTCTGACGGTTACAATTCCATTGGGTCAATAAATATAGGTTGTTTGAGGAGACATTTTATATTACTTCTGGTTTTCAAGGTGATGTGACAATTACTTTTTGATGCATGGTTACTTTATCATCATCATGATGCGCTTTTCTCGGTGACACGTCAGCAAGCATTAAATGCATATCCCGCTTTGATTTCAAATTGAAGAGTTACATATAAAAGGGGATACAATGGTTAATGATCTGTTTACACTTTCTTCATACCAAATACTCTCTGGAAATCAAATTCTCTTTGTTCATCATTTACTTCAAAACCCTAAAAATGGTGAATGTTGCAAATGTTACAGCTGAACCTTCTCACACAACGGAGGATGTTACTTCTTTGCAAATAATGAAGATCCAGGGTACCAATTATCAGGTGGAATCCAATGTTTCACTGTATCTTGAAGAAATTAAAATGATGATTGTTGCTCTGTAAAACTCCATCTTATCAAAAGCAATGTTCAACTCCTTTTCTATTCCTCTCTCCTGGTTATCACAAGCAGGATCAACCGCCACATATTCAAAAGGATTGGATGCAGTTACATTTATCCTAATCAATGATAAAAAGGTTAGATTGACAAAAAAGCTTTTCGGCAAAATTCTCGATATCCCAAATTCTCCACCGTATGTTTCTTTCACATTTCCTCAAATTGTCCACATGTTCAACGAAATGGGTCATCAACCCCAGCTAACTAAAATAGCGATTTTAAGAAGTCGAGGCTTCTATGTGTATGGAATTTTCTTTTTGGTATTTTTCTCCGTTGTTTGACTGGCAGAATGGTAGGACTTGATAAGGGAAGAATGGAGGTATACGCCATGGTAGCAGGGCTGTATTATGATCTCCAGATGGAATATCCGACTCAACTGTGGAAGGAATTTCAAAAGAGTATCGAGAATACAAATGTTGTTCATGGAATTTCATGTGCTAGGTACTAGAGCTTGATTTTGCAACATTTCTATGATAAAGAAGGTATATTAGTTCCAACTAATGAGGAGAAGGCTATGTTTCACACATATAGTTGTCCGAAGGATGCAACGGATGATTTAGATGAGTTTTCGTTTGCAGCTCGTATCCCCGACATGATGCTAAAGACATTGATCCTTCGAACTCAATCTTGGTTTCTTACTTAGCAACCATCAATACTTCTGCGGAAATTGGGATTCTCTTACCACAAATATCTGAAAAGAAGTCAAAGAAATCGAAGACAACTTATGTTGGCTCTTCGGATACAAAAGTCAAGTCTTCAAAGAAAACGAAGTAGGTTCCTGTGATTAAACCTGAGCCAATTCAGCCAGATTTGATTATTCCTGATTCCCAGGTCACTGAAAAGGAAGTCATTCCGTCAAAGACTGTTGTATTTAGACGAATTAAGATGAAGTTGAAGAGCAAGCGAACATCATCAAGTACGAATGTTGTTCACAAACCACAAGTATCTCATCACGGGGTGGTTTTTTGGGAAATTTCTGCCCCTGCTTCTCCATCATCAAAGAAGAGAATGGCTGCTGACATGGCTAAGCATATTTCTAAGAAGAAGAGGTGTAAGTTGGTTCTCTCTTTCAATTCTACAACTGATGAGATAGAAGCTATTCCAGAGACTCCAGAAACAGTTCTTATCAACGAATCTTCTAGAACTGATACTTTAGTGACTCAACCACCTGAAGTTTCGATTGCCAAGACAGTTACTGTGGAGGTCGAACTTCAGACATCCCTGTAAACATATCTGATATGGATACAAATGTCATCATGGGTGAGGATACTTCGAATAATGCAGCTAAAGGTAACACTTCGAATGTGGTTTCCGAATCTCTCATTTCTTTGCCTTCTCAGATTACCCTTATTATTCCTACAACATCTACCATTGATTCTCCCACATTTACTCACATTATTTCACATCCATTCACAGCTCTCTTTTCTTCACAATCAACTGATCCACCTACCACTACCTCTCCCCTGAAAGATTCATTCTTGGAAACTGAAAATGAATGAGAAGGTTTTGGGGGAACCTTTGAAAACCTGGAGTTTGATGAAGAGGAAACTGATTTCCTGGATCATATGCTAATGACAATGAAACAGTTTAAAATTTTGAATAGAAAGCTCAATTCAATTATTCAATATCAAGCTGACATTGGGGGAGGCCATGTTATGTCAAGTTTAGAAGTTGATGGCATGTTGTCATTGCTTGAAGGGAGGCTGGCAACCAAAGTTTATGGAATGATTCAAGCTTTCGAGTCCTGATTAATGGAAAAGATTGATCTTTTTGATCAAAACAATGAGTCACGGGTGAAGTCACAGAAGTCTGATTTTTCATCAAACTTACAAGATTTAAAGATGGTGGCAAAAGAAAGACATGTGCTTTTCGTTTAAGATGTTAAGAAGGTGCGAGAAGACGTAAATTCAAAATTTAGGAATCACGTGAAGATATGGAGAAGGAAATTTTGGTTGTTCGTACTAAATTCGACTCCATCAACAAGAAGGTGGATATTATCTGCGAAGCTGTTACAAAGTTTGCAAAGCTCTATGAAAGTCTGAGTCCTCAGATTACTCAACTTTCATCAACTGACAATAAAAATTTCATGGAAGTATTCGAACTTCTGAAAGAGCTCAAAAGTCTATCTACCAAGCCTGCTTCGTCCATACTGTCTTCAGAAGATTTGATCCATAAATTTTCCAAGTTTGAAGAATTAGTTGTCCAACAACTGGCTCCTTTATACCACATCTCCAGTCTTCTTCCAACTACGTATGCCCCACCTGCTAACACAGGGGTGCAAGGGGGAGAAAAAACCATGGCAGGATTGAAGACAGGAGGAGATTCGAAGGTGTTGGGGAAAGTGTCTTCAACAAATATTCCATCATCTAAACCAGTCATTGCAACAGCTGGTCCAATCAGTTCAACTGTTGTGACCATTGTGTCAATCACAAAACCAAAAGGAATTGTTATTGGTAAAACTACTGATTTCGGAGGGAGTGGTTCCAAACAGAAAGAAAATGTTGATGAATCTGGTGCGAAGTCAATAGGAAAAGAAATACTAATTGAGAAGTCTAAGGAGGAGAAGAAGGCAGAAGCAGAAGTTGAGGTTGAGAAAATGAGAATGATACAAAGTATCATGACTCAAAAAGCAAGTGACCCTCATGGTCTGAACAAGGGTGATCCTACGAAGCACTATAACTATGAAACGATTTAAGCTAAAGTTGCTTTTAATCACATGTACGCGTTTGAGAAAAAGCCCAAACAAAGCTACATTGTTACAAACACATATTTAAGCGAGTTAGATTTCCCCATAAACGAAATGATGTTCATCATCCCACAATTCAAGGCTGAGAGCAAATTTAAAGAAAAAGACGAAGGGACACACTTGAAGATCAGATTTCATGTTGTTCTTGATAAGCCAGCTGAAGAAGGGTGGTCATTAACGAAGATCAAAAAGGTGATTAGCAAAAAGAAGGATGTGATCTTCCAAGACACAGTCCAAAATATTAAGTATGTGGTGGTGACAGCAGATGGAAAAGTATGTGAACTCACTGTGGCTGACTTTCAATTGATGAACTTGTATGATCTATGTGACAACCCGAAACTATTCCGTCACCATAACCTGTTTTCCGTTAATAGAACTCGTTCTTATTTAACTTTTCCGTTAACATTGGGATTAAATAAATAAAAATTTGTACTTTTTCTATGGCTACATATGGATCGGAATAAATTAAGAATGCGGGAAACACCATAATATCCTTTTTAGAAGTTTTAGTTACAAACGAATTAAAATACGACCATTTAATCGGGTTCGACCATAAGCCCCGTTTAACGTCGGTATCAAGTAAAATTCCACCGGGCCACAAACTCAAACCCTATATAAGGGTTGATTGGTCACCAAGTTAGAACTTTTACCACTCTAATCCCTTTCTCTCTCTCTCTCTCTCTACTCTCTCTCTCTCTCTTCAAGGTCCGATTCTCCCGAAATCCGCTAGTTTCTGCTCCAAACTCTAAGTACACTTACCCTAGCTTGTTCTACAACCCATTGCATGTCATTATAGCTGAAAAATCATCCAAGAAGGCCAAGAGTAAGGAGTTTATGGCCCAAGAACACTCTAGGGCCGTAAACCCCTAAAAATGTGCCAAAATGGTCCCAAATCCCTTCCTTAGGCTTAGAGGCTAATTTAGAACATACCCTAGAAGTGTTTTAGCCATTTAATCTTGTGTTTAGAGGCTTAGAAGAGGGTTTACAGCCCAAGAATACCCTTAGGCCGTAAACTCCCTTAAGCCATGCAAAATGAGCCTTTAACCGCCTAATTAGCCTTATACCTTCACCTAGAAACACATAGGAGTGAACAAATGGCCCAAAATCAAAGTATAAGGGGTGTCCAAGAGTTCACATACGTAAATCAAGGGGTTTATGACCGTAAACTCCAAAGGAGTTCTCCTAGGACCGCAAACTCCAAGCGAGTGCCCCTTTGGAACCTTAAACACCCCTCAAGCTTTGTATAATACCTTGGAATCCCTTCTAGAGACACAAGATACTTGGAAACACACAAATACACTCCTCCCATTAGTTTATGGCCGTAAACTCTTCGGGGAGGTGGTCCCTCAGCTGTAAACTCACCCAAGGTGAGTTTGTGAGGAGTAAACTCCATAGTGAGGCCTAAAACTCCTTCCTTGCTACCCAATAGCCTTCTAGCACTTAACCATAGAGCTTTTATTTACATTAGGATGTCTATGTGTGTTTAATTAGTGTCTAAATCACTAATTACTTGTAAACATATGTCTTCATATGTTACCAGGGTCATAAATTGTGTACAAGTCTTTACTTAGCACCAAACACTCAACTGACACTTCCACCTGATCTACTCGCTTCAGGTGATTTCATACTCCTGAATTAACCTTTTCAAATGTTTTCACATGTTTTAGGGGGAGGGGATAAAAGTAACTGCAACAAGTTCTATTTCCTAATCATATGTGATTTATATCTTGCAACCAAAAATGATTATACTTTTAACTGTTTGTCAATAAAACCGTTCTAAATATTTATCAAACACATTTTTTTTAACTAAACTGTTGTTAAACTATTTTCAAATTGTATTTAAATTACTTTTCTTTTAAACTATATCGACATCGATATATTTATATAAATAAGACTTGAAGGACTTAGGACCGATGGCTCACCTTATTTTCTGTTCTTGTTTGATTTTGGTCTTAGGGTATATTGTTATCCGTCCGACTGTCATTGATTTCTTACTTATATATCATATATATTGTGTTAGATATGAAATTCTTCATCTTATATAATACCTTTGCATGTCAAAGGCATACGACTCTACACTCTATATAACTATAATACGTATAGTTAATACTACTGCTCGTTATCTCTATCACTATGATACCCGCTATAATTACTACGATCACGAGTTAAGACTCATTTAAGAAAACACTCTCTATACTATACTAAAAGTTACTATACTATAATACAAGAGAATACACTATTCTAGAATATAACACACTATCCCTCTATACGACACTCTACTACTTAAATACCATGTAACCAGGGCTTCCCGAAAGGAAAGCAACACTACATGTATAGATCTATACAGGACGGACGCTATTATATCCCGACTGTTATTTACAATCCGAGCCGACTAGGCCCAGGGATATCACTACGTCACTACACTACGGATGACCGGGAAGGTCATTAGACCCTCTATAATCACTCAGTTTGGTTACATGAGAAATCATATCCATATCCAAATTAATACACTAAGAATTAAAGTCTAAGCTAATTCCCGAAGTAAAATAAACATATATTGAAGTTGCAACACTACTACAGTTAATCAGAAATACTTTTACTCATCTACGTCACTTGTATGAAATTTATTACTTTATTTTTAAACACTGAAAGTTTCAATGAACAACACTTTTACACACTCAAAGGATTTAACTTACAAATATACCGTCCTGGAAAATATAGGATTTTCTAGGGATTTCTACTACTCTCTAAATTTATTTCAACTTTTATATTACCTTATTGTAAACACTTTTATACAATAAATGACACTAAAATCTTATGAACTCACCAACTTTATGCTGATACTCGTTTCAAAATAACTTGTATCCTCAGGTCAAAGATAGACAGTTACTGGTGCAGCTTTTCGGAAGATGGAGCATATACAAGTCTCATCTTTTATTTTTGTTATACTTTTGGTGTCTATCAACTGTACAGAACACGTTTGTATTTAAAATCACTATAGTAATGCAATGGTTGTTGTCGCTTGTTTTTACTATTATGCAATTGTTATGATACTGTACATGACGTCCTTCACACCGGAACGTATTCCGCCGTTCTCGGTTTTAAGGTGTGAGAGATTGCTATTAGAGCATTGTTTATATTGAATCAAGTATGTCAACCCATAAAAGGTATACAAACTATAAACACTTCGGGACTAAAACACTCTGACCAAGAATATATACTTGTAAATACTAAAATATTTAATTAAGTGTGTGTGCATATATATATATATATATATATATATATATATATATATATATATATATATATATATATATATATATATATATATATATATACATTCACCAATAGAAAAGGTCAGTATCATTCTAGAACAAAATTGAAGTATTAAAGATTGGTGAACAACACAACTAAGCTTAGAGACATATCGTCACACCTGGGTGGATGTAGCCCGATCAACTACATCTCTCTAGTAGTGACT